TAGATATTACGAATGGGCCTCTGCTGTATTGCTTCTGTTGACAATTGGTTCCGAATACTATATAGCAATACAAGGCAGGTGTTTTAAGTTATAAAGCAAAAATAATTGTGTTCCTTTGATCAATAGTCTACAGCTTACGCCTTGCGGTGATGGTGCTTCTGCTAATTAGTCCTTATGCAAACTGGTTTTTAAAAAAACGTTGTAGTGAGTACATTAACGCTGGCCAGCTATTCAGATGTACTAAACCCAACATTTTTAAACATATATTCTATTGGAGTTTCATAATCTGAGGTATCGGTTGCATGTGCTCAAGATACATTTTTCCGAAATATAAATTCTAAATGTTGAAAAGATACGTATTGTAAGTACAATTTTCAACAGAATAAAACAGTACCTTTGCTCTCCTAAAAGATAGTGTTTTCTGGGCTTAGTACAATGAAACAGCGGGTCGACGATAAGGAAGTGATTTATGAGCTGTTTTTTGTTGTGGTCTTTCGAGTCTCTGTTGAGGCTGCATAAACCTTGGGAAGTATTTCTCCATCGTTTAGTGATTAGTCTTGATCTCCTCTTTTCACTGACTGCTTTTTTTATCGACTGTTTTCAGATTTTAAATCTGATCTCTACTGAGGTCATGTCCCTCGAGCCATTGTATAGTAACGGCCACCATCGCGGGGTTTCTTTCGCTCGATACAAATTAAGAAAACATAGCTAGAAATGTCCTGACTTCACTTAAAAATTGTAGGTTTCCCAACCCTTCCCACTTCACCATCACCTCCTCCGCCCCCTTGGCACCTGTACCCCACATCTTTGATTACACCAGCGTGCAGTGCATAATGTCAGCCGTTATTGTGAACACAGCCAATCCACATTCGGCAACAACGGAAATAACCGATATTTCTTCCCACTGAGATGGGATCAGAGAAACTGTTTATCAAAAATCGAAAGGCAGACATCAGTTGAAAGCGTTGGAGCAAACTGGCTTAACCATTTGTGCATTTTCCCGCAGTTTCAAATGAACAGCTAGCCAAATTCGAGCCAGCAGGCGCCATAAATCAAGCGAAAGCGAAAGAAATTGCGCCTTCGCTCAGTCTGTGGTATCGCCAGAACGGCCTAATCAAGCGCAAAAATTGATTTTGTAACCGATACATGCGATCACAGCGGGTGAACTGATCGGGCCATAGTCTGCCCTGGTTTTCCATCGAGAAGACGCAGCAGACGGGTCAAATCATTCTCGAGTCAGGACTTTTGTGAACGGTAAAAAAAAAAAGGAACGCTAGTCAGAAAAGTTCGCATTACTTTCTGCTGTTTAGCAGTTGATTAACCTTTTTTCTATAACACTCGTAAAAAAGAACCCAAAAAAATTTGAACGATTAAGGTGGGGGGGGGGGGGGGGGAGAAAAATGATTGGAACCTCACGCTGATTCTAAGGAAAATATTAAAAGTTTAACATGTTGTGCCTTAGCGGTAGTTGCGTACAAAGTGGAACTTTTTCCCCTAAATTCTCTTTGGCAGTTAGGTCATCCCCACAACCAATATCACACCCCTCTTTGTGAAAAGTTTTTTTTTTTCCCGAGACAATGCCAGTTTGTGTTTTAAGTTCCTATCTACACAACTTTTATAACAAAAGAGCTTTTTGCTTTGACTTGCAACCTTGGGCTTTAAAAATAAAAATAGACTTCCTCTTTTTGGAATCGAACTTATCTCTTTTGTGTGTTTGGAAAAGAGCCAACTGATTTCGTTATGAATTTTCTGGTTTAATCAGGAATAGCTTTTTTATACTAGAGGGTTTTACGGCGCTCGCAACTGCATTAGGTCATATTAGCGCGGAATAGCTTTGCTAAAAAAATACGTTTGGTTGAGTGACAAAATTGTGGTATTAAGTTAAAGCCCCACCCATTTCCGTCTCAACACAAGAGAGCTATTAAAAAGGCTGGGCCATTCACTTTTAGGTTAATCTCCGATTGAACCATGCCGAGCAGCTCGAAAACTATGAAAACAACGCAGGAATTCAGTTAGTGCTTCCTGCTTTCACATAGGTGTAAAATATTCTAAAAGACTAAAACATAGACCAAAGTGTATGTGCCTAATATTTAAATTCATGTCTTTTTGTGACATTTTCTGCTAGACCTCAGGGGTTTGGTACTGACGAGAGCATTTTTACTTTCGGTAGAAATTAATTTTGAGTTTTCTCCTTGTGGCGGCCGAAGCTTATTAATCTGATCGATTTTAAGACCACCAAATTATATTAAAGTGCGTTGCTTGCACAAGGAACCTCAGAATTATTTTGTTTTCATCTGAGAAGGCTCGATATAATTTTATCAGGTGTGTGCCTAAATAACAACAGCGAGAAGAGGCCAGGTAAAGAAAGAGAAGGTGGTGATGAACCCTGATGACAGAATGTGACTAGAGAACGGAAAGGAAAACTTTTTCGTCAGTGACAAGATTCGTTCCCAGAACCTTTTGACTGAAGGGCAATCATTGTACCTTTAGACCACGAGAG